CTGAAGAATAATCAGTCGACAAGATGATGAAGGCCGGCCGAGCGAACGTACCTGATCTCTGCCTCGCGCGCGAGTTTCGACTCGGGGAGTACGCTCATGTTGATGAGGTCGCCGCCCCACTGCCGGTACATGATGCTCTCCGCCCGCGTCGAGAACTGCGGGCCCTCCATGCACACGATGGTCTTTCCCGTAAACAGCTGCACTCCACGGCCCTCCTCCTCCAGTGCACGCCTCACGCGCCCCTCGAGCCAGTCCACCAAGCGCGTAGTGAACGGGTCGCCAAACGCGGCGTGCGCAACGATGTTGGTGCCTTCGAAGAACGAGGCGGGGCGCACGCCCTTGGTGCGGTCGATGATCTGCGCGGGGAGGGCGAATGCGCCGGGCGCGATTTCCTCACGGAGGGAGCCGACGGCGGAGAAGGCGAGGATGGCCCGCACGCCGAGGGATTTGAGCGCAGCGATGTTGGCGCGCGATGGGACGGCGGAGGGCTGGATGCTGTGGCCAGTTCCGTGGCGTGCGAGGAAGGCGATGTGCTTGCCGGAGGGTAGTGCAGCGATGGTTATGGGTGCGGAGGGGAATCCCCAGGGCTGCAAGAGACGGAGTTGGTTACTGAAGTTGAGAATGCAAAGAAAGACGAACGGTTTCAGGGTTGACGTGTTTACTGCAATTTTTGAGCTTTTTTTGGGAAGAAGAGGAGGAAGACGCACACGAATGTAAGGTTATCAAGATGGTATAGCCCGCTGCCGCCGATCACGCCAATAAGAACTACATTTCCATTCAATGAACTGGATAATGGGATTGAAGATGCAGGATAAGCGTGCCTTTCTGGTCAGACATGGCCGAAGATACAAAAAACACAAGGAGAGCGTAGTCGGTGATGAAATGCAAGAGTAGCGAGGAGATCAAGAGAGGTAGTGATAAATCGTAAATTTTTGCAATGATGCAATTGATCTGATCGGTGCCATCAACGTCTGCCAAAAACAGTTTAATGGCCAACGTGGGGATCGAACCCAAGACCTTCGCGTTATTAGCACGACGCTCTAACCAGCTGAGCTAGTCGGCCTACGGTAATCTGGTTGTCTGTGACCACCAAGAGGGGCTTCGTCCGGGGAAATCCGAGACGTCGACTCCCCACTCGTTGAGAGGTTGACCCTGGCTGACAAGCGCTGACCAATGTCAGGATCTTCCCCTTTCGGCCTGCCCTTTCTTCTCATCATTGATGAAATCAGTACTCGTTCACAGCGCAGTGCTCAAATATTCATTAGACATAGTCCATTCAAAGCTCATATCACTACATAAAGTTAAATCCATACAATTATCTTAAAATCCCCACATTTGATCTGGTTTGTTACCTTTTCTAAGGAGATTCATCCCGGGCCTCTGCAGAAGCACGCGAGATGGCTGATTGTGAACGTTTCCTCCCCTCCCAGTCTCCTCCATATGGCCATATCACATCACTATTTGGGATCTAACTCTCTTCTCTCTGCTTCCAATCTCATTAATTCCCATTCTCTCTACCTCTGCAACCAAAATGCGTGTGGCTACAACAAGTTGTGGGAATAAGTTTGCAAGTCTTTCTTCCTTGTTGGTATGCTGATTAACAAGATGGTTATATAGATCATAATTCCAAATGGTCTTCCTCCACCCCGCATTGCTCAGGAGTCGTACTTCGATCTGTCTACTTCAGATCCCAAGGAACCGATTGATGTGTATTTGTCAGCAAGATAAGATGGCTTCAACGGCGATATACCGGCGTGTGCCGGTGATAATTGGTGACCACTAAGCTCCAAAACATATTTCTAGAGAGCCGTGAGCTTTTAATGAGTAAATTTTCTGAGGATAAATGTTTTTAGTCTCCTCTATAAGCTTTTTTTCAATTATCCGGATCTTATTTGGACGGAAAATGAGAAAAAAGTCCCCAAAATCACTACAAGATTAGCATTAATACCGTTTTATAGAACTATACTTTTATATACAAAATATATGATTGGTTGGGTAAAATAATGTTAATAAGCAATTAAAACGGTTTCTCTGAATTCTAGACAATGTCAGAGCAGAAAATTGTCAATAAAATGGCTCTGGGGTATGGCCCACAACGGCGTGATGGACGGTAATGAGTGATTATCTCTCGATTAGGTCTCCCACAGTGGCTCCGGAACACTCCGACTTAGCCGAGGTAGACAGATCGAACGGTTTCTCCATTGCTCAGAGGACATAGCAGACAATTGATGGGAATTAATAATTAGCACATCGTGAGTTTTGCCAGTTGCTCTTGTGTATTGCAATTGCTTATAGAAATATTTGCAGTCCAAGACCATTTCATACGAGGGATTCCGGCCGGCTGACACAGGCCCGACGACGTTCAAAATTGTTTTACAGGGATTCATCGCGCACCAGTCAGAGTGCGATGATTGATAAGAGATCAAAGAGAGAGAGATGGTCAGCGCTTGTCAGCCAGGGTCAACCTCTCAACGAGTGGGGGAGTCGACGTCTCGGATTTCCCCGGACGAAGCCCCTTGGTGACCACTCACCTTCATACCCCCAGCACAGTGTCATCCTTTTCGGACATCAACTTCAAGGCTCATGCCGTCACTGTTTTTAATTGTCATTCCCTCGTTCTATGGCCAATCGATAGCACGCATACACTTGGTCTCAGTTATTCCCATTCAACGCGATGCCGGACCTGATACCCCCCCGGAACTGCGAAGCCCTAACGCATACTACCGGAGAGAACGGCTATTTCTGCAGGCTCCTATCATCTGTGCGGGGACTAGGAGGATCTTCCAAACGACCGCACTATGGAGAAGCTGGGCCAGGATGAGCTGTGTTTCGGTCAGTGCCCTTTCTTTTCACAACTGCCTATATAAGTATCATCTAAACTTTAAAGCGCTCTCCTTTTACTCCTCGTTAGCTAGTACCCAATGGCGATTGCCACCTCCCCGGTTTCTTCGCGCTTGCCTGTTGCGAGATAAATATCATTAAGCTATCCCAAGAGCCTGCAAGACGTGTCCGCCCATGCGATAGCTTATCACTAAGCCCTTCTGAGAATACCACACGGAGCATAAATCAAATTCGGATCCTAATATTGAGTTCGTGTGTCCATCTTCGCTCTCTCCATACGTGCTGGGAGGTCAGTTATCTCGGCCAGACGCTCTCACCTTTATCCTTCTCACTCTTCTGATAGACCTCGTGGTTTCGCTCTGATTTAGGGCATCATGTCGCCCTCCTCAAAATGCCCAGAGCGATCCATCGAGAGCACTGAGAAACGCACCCATACCTAGCCGTCTACAGGATACGGCGGATATCGGCCGCCTCCAAATTCAGCACCTCAAGATGTTCGATTTCCTTGTTCCTGCACCATTGCTCCTCGGATAACATGGCGTCTGGCTTGCACAGGTACCCTCGAAACCTTGTTCCATTCGTCAAGGTACCCCTGGCGCCTAGAAATGCATATATAAACCCTACTACGCTCCCCTATACCCCACATCAACAACCCGTACCTGCTTAACCACTAGCACTAGCACTCCATCCATGCACTTTACTCTCACCAGTACCGTCACACTCTTGGTGCTCTTCGCAGGTGCCAACGCTGCCGTTCTGCCCGACGCGGCGGTGGTACCCAAAGATTGCAGACCGCTCAACTCCTTCTGCCAATGGGGTATCGAATGCTGCTCTGGACACTGCAGCTTGCTTCCAGTTCCAAGGTTGAATTACAGGGTGCGCTCTTATATGTTGCTTCGGATGCGCAGGATATATATTAATGGTTTTTTGACGATATATAGGCCTGTATTCCCTAGATGCTGTACAGAACACAGATGTTACCTAGGCATGCTCGCATCGTATGTCTTTCTTTTTGATGTTTTCCGCGGAGCTAACGATTGTGTAGTCACTATGTTTACTTTGTGTCGAATTCGTGTCTGTCCCGAAGTTGGTAAGCGACTTTAAACACACGTTCCCTATTATAGACCTAACCTTTTTGAAGAACCAGTCTTGACTCAAATTGATGCTTGCTTTTTTGATATTACCATTTTGAAATTGAAAACCAATACAATTATTCTGTCATGAATATCATTTTACCCGGCTCTCATCCGAATATGGCTGGAGTGGACGAGCCACAGACTTCTTGCGTGCGAGTTTTCGCCCCAATATCGCTACTACCTTTCTTCGGAAGAACAGGCAGTGGCAGGTTCCTAGTCCATCCAAATGTAACTGGATACGGAACAGAAGTGGACGAGTCAGACTTCGTGCGTGCGAGGTTTTGCCTCCATATCGCCATTACCTTTCTTCGAAAGAACGGGCAGCAGCTGGTTCTTGTTGAGAAATTTTTAGGTTACGCCTTGTCCGCCCTAAGATCCATCATGGACCTCGAGTTTGCGACTCCTCCAAGACTGCAGCCTGTATTCACCCATGCGGACACTGACACAAATTCGCCAGCTGATATCCAATGCTGTCTACAGGCTGTCAGAATTTCCTTCAATGTCTGTCAAGCTACCTGTCTCTGTCCACGGCGGCAACAGCTACCGCCGCTCTCACCATGCCTCTGCTTAGGGGCAGTCCGGCAGATTATGCATATATAAGGCCTTGGGTTACCCATATACCTCGGGATATCCCTCCGTTCCACAAACCAAAGACCCAACTTGAAATAACTTCTGCAGCACGATGCGCTTGTGACATATCACCCTCCTCGCGCTCTTCATCGGCACCAATGCTGTCGCGCTACCCGAGACGCAGCTTGAGCGTCGCTGCCTCGCCTCCGCCACCCTGTGCACTAGATCGGTGGATTGCTGCTCTCGCGATTGGGGGTATTATAGACCCAACTCTGCAAGGCTGTAGGTGGCTTGTTTGTCTCCGTTGAAGGCAAAGATTGAGGTTTTGTTGCTAGTATTGCAGATGATTTTGCTCCAGTCAATCCTGCGGTCCGAACATTCTTAGCTGGTTCATCAGCCTTCAGAGAACAAGGAGTTTCAGATTGGATGCAGTGCAAAAGTCGACGGTGTCATGGTGAGATGGCCGAGCGGTCTAAGGCGCCAGACTAAGGACCAAGGCATTGGATGCCTACGCCACAATCTGGTCTCTTCGGGGGCGTGGGTTCGAATCCCATTCTCATCATGGGGGGGGTCTTCCTATTTTCAATTTTTGGTGGAGATCCGCATGTTTGCCGGCAGTGCTTGCGATTCTGTACCAATTTTGCCTGTGGCGCATTAGAGCATTCACTTTATGAGCCAAATATATGCCCTAACGGAGCAATCAATATTTGATAAGTTTACTCGAAAAGTTGATTGATAGTCCAAGAAGCTAACAGGGCACGAGAATAAAACAAATATATGTAGTTACTACAAGTCCGAGAAGTGAAAAAACGCCCAATTCAACTTCCTAGATAATCAATCGCCCAAATTAAGTTTAATTCGATAAAAATCGTAAGAAAAACGCACATTTTGCGGGGAATACCCATCCCGCGATCCCCTCTTGTGTGTAGCCGTTCTGACTGGCCGAATTGCGTTCCTCGACCGAAGTAGTGTAGAAGTGGTCGAAGTCTTTCTGACTGAACAGACGGAACAAGGGTACGGTGCCACGGCATGAGCCATCGGGGAAAATATAGCCAGTAATTCCCTCAGGCGTATACCCACCATTCATAATGGCGTTGCGACTCTCCTGCGCATTGTTTGTGTAGAAGTGGTCCGTCTTCTGGGCGTTGTAGTCGCGGAAGAAGGGCACGGTGCCGCGCTGCTGCCTAGCGAAGATGCGGGCGGCAACGCCCTCGGACTTGTA